AGACACGTGTAATACGGCAGTATTTTAACAAAAGATAACCTCTTAAAAGGCAGTGAATAAATTTGTTAACATACCTCAAATGTTTTACCTGGGAGACAGAGATAAATATATAAGCATCGTCTAGTATTGCGGAAAACTCATAATTAAAAGATGTATTAAGAGATACTTAGCAAGAATTGTATCCTGATGAAGCAAAGTCTGAAACAATACATCCAGAATTGATAGGACTGACTAAGGTAGCGGTGGACAATGTTATTGATGCACTTCTTTTGGATTATACTCAGATGTTATGATAAAAATACTTCATCACAATTTGCAGTTGCACAAGAACAAACTCCAACTTTATTCTTAAATCATGGAGAATTGCCAAAACATGTAGAATTTATGACGATAATTCATCTAGCGGTAGAAACAATATGTATCACTCGACTTAGCTAGCCAATCAGACGGTTACCCTGAATATCGCTTCTCTATTTTCTACTACTCTATGCATTAATTGCAAACCGATCATAAGCAAACGCAACTCTTGTTGCGACAACCAATCGTCAAAGACACCATCTGACGAGTTGTCGCAATAAGATTTGCAATTGACCAGCAACTATGGATGCATTCGAAAAGTCTATTATTTGCATTAGTCAGCACTAACGAGTAATTTTGTTGCATATGTAACAAAAATAAAATGACCTAATAGCGTGCTCACCGAACGCAGCTTTAGACTAGATCTATTATGGTGTTTTTAAAGCCTTACAAATTGACCGCTCACAATTAATTATTCTTTTATACTTCGATTGGTCAATTATTTACGGCTGAAAGGAACTATTGTAAACTAGGACTAATGTAGAACGACCTTAACACCCATTGCTAGACTCTGAAGACCATAGAGATATAAGAATAGAGGGAACAAGGGATATATGCTACCTGTAAGTGGAAGTGTTAGAGGCAAAGAGAGAGATGGATGCCTAGGGTTCTATCTGTCTCTTTCTAGTCGAGCGCTGTGATTGGTTTTTACAATGAGCCTCCAAGGCGACCACGCGACGTCAGGAGGGGAGAAAGCAGACTAAAATTTCGTTTTGTAAATATGCGTGCACATGTGTGTAGAATTAAAATTCGTTAAATATTCGAACGTTAACAAAATAATAATTGGACGCGATTTGTTTAAAAATGAGGCATTGTTTGAAATGCAAGGCGGAGTCTTATCCTGGATGTAACCGCAGTTTTCACTCGTAAGAAAGTACAAATACGTAACCTCAAATAATTATGTTATTTTTTCCTACGTTTAAAAAAATATCTAAATGTTGTAGGCTACCGAAAGAGGTAGATATAAGGCGTAAATGGTTGAATATATTTCAACTACCTTTGTATTTTGAAGTGAAAACAGCATATATTTGCAGTGATCATTTTAGCAATGACAGTTTCTTTGAATTGGATGGAGAAAAATGTATGGCTATATCGTCGTTGGCGCGGCAGCCAATCCCAGCGCGTGACTAGAAAGAGACAGATAGAACACTCGGCATCCATCTCTCTCTTTGCCTCTATGACTTCCACTTACAGGCTTGTTCCTTCTATTCTTATATCTCTATGCTGAAGACCGAATAAATTGGTATGACATCGAATGAAAACAGCTATTGTGAATTAATCGAATTTCCAAATATCGAAAAAGTAGTCGATACTTTAACAAGAAAGGAACTGAAAGAATAATCGCAATCGCCGGGTTGTTGAGTGATGTTGGAGGTTCGTCTTAAGATCGCTTAAAACCATAATGACAGTAAGAGAGGTCGCCATTGTCGTCTTTTCTGTGCGGTCGTCGATGATGGAACAACCGTGGACACACCTATAAAGAATTAGTTGAAATTAACCAAAACAGGTCATATTTCTTGTTGGTGCGATCCAATCATTGAAAACAGGTTGAATATATCGTTGATATACGTGAGTTAAACTGCGAAACATTGAATCCAACAGCTTGGTCAAGTTGATCAGACAGAATCAAGCTATCAAAGGCTAGTCGATTGAAAGAATTGACTGTGAGATTAATTACGGTGATTCAGTGTCATGAAACCAGGAGAGTCGATTGACTGGTGAATCACAGTGTGAATGTCGCGAAAAAGCCTTTGAATTGCAAATATGGTAAGTCGTTTGATTGTGAACTTCGATTAGCTGGAACGTTAATTTTCACCGATAACTTTCAAAGATTAATCTCGATTTTTACAGCGGTCGGAAACATTTTTTTTGCCAAATATTGCGGTAAAAAATCCTCGCTCTCATTTGTGATAAACTATTCCCAAATTCTTATGTTCTTACACCTATTATCTATTTATCTGGTTGTTTCTTTTTTTACAGTCGGGAACTCTGAAGCCCTATTTGACAGCAGTGAGACGTACGCTTACTGCTGCCATGTGCCTGGAAAACTTTTCCTCTCAAATAGTAGAAAAGCACAATAAGCCTGAAGTGGAAGTAAGAGCAAGCAAGGAATTGCTTTTAACACCTATCTTGATAAGTAGAAACGATAAGGAAAAAGTTTTAATAGAATCTAGTATAAACAGTATGAGAATAAGTATTGCCGTGAAACAAGCCGATGATCTGGAAAAGATTCTTTGTCATAATTTTACCAGATTTATGACAATGAGAGCTGAACATTTTATGATCCTCAGAAGAAAACCGGTTGAGGTGAATGGATTTCTTTTTCTAATATTGAATAATTCACACGCAATTACAATTCTGTATGTTTCAGGGCTACGACATTAGCTTTTTAATCACTAATATTCACGTTGAGCAAATGTACAAACACAAAATAGTAGATTTTGTTATTCACTTTATGGAGGAGATTGATAGAGAAATCAGCGAAATGAAGTTGTCGGTTAATGCTAGGGCACGTATATGTGCCGAGGAATTTTTGAAAAGGGTAAGCCTTCGCAAGTACGATATTGTTTAATTATGAACGAGCAATCATCTGATTCTTTTTCAGTTTTAATCCGTCGTCGCTTATGAATCGATCAGCGTGAGGGTCAGACACGCTATTATTATCGATGTCATCGTACAATTTTTGATAACTTTGAGAAGTTGGAAAACGTTTTTATAAAATATTCAACAAGTTTCCTTATCACCGCCCGCATTCTTTCTACATTGAACATGCATAAAACGCGTTATTACGATAAGAAATTGATTCTTTATATCTAAAAATCACATGATAAAAAGGACACTGTTTAAACTTTTGCATGAGATGACATTTTAGGCATTCTTATGTTATCAGTGTTATCAGTATAGCACTCGCTTAAAACAATCATCACCTACATGATCGTGGAAGTAATAGCCGGGCGATATATCTGTTAGTACGGCAAGTTCTTCAATTTAAAAATTTTTTAATATTTGTTCATTGTTGAATGCTCTCTCTGTAAGAAACATGGATTACAATTGCAATTTCAAAACAAGAATTGTATAGTTCCTGGGTAGCACATCATCGGATGTCAATATGACGTCCTCTGTTAATATGACGTCACTGTGTCACCTGGGGTGTATCAAATTAAAAATAACCATCGAAAATGTTTAGCCATTGGATGATATTGATTACATTGAGTAACAACGATTCCTTCGAATTTGTATACATTTTTATACTTTTCGCCATCTTCCCTGTAACGTATGATACAACTTTTGTGTCAAGTAACATACATATATTCAAATGATATTGAATTAATCGTAAAGTAAGATAAGATTTCTTATCTTAAAGTTGCTCTTTAGAAATCTATCTTTTGATGTAACGAGCGAATAGAAATAATTGGCATGTCATTTACTTTTCTTCTATGATGTTATATTTAGAAATGTGAGTAAATTTGTGTGTAGAATGTTTTCTTTTTTAGTGCAATTTATCACGCGTGACGTGTTGTTGCGTACTTTAATCATTTATTACACACAATAATGAAACATCGCACATTTCTCTTCCCTTTCTTTTTCCCTCTCCTTTGTTCGAGAAAAAAAAAACCCGGAGCTGTGTTTCACCATGTTTTCTAATATTTAATAAGAGGCAACCCCCGATATTTTTTAGACAAATTACAATCGTTCATTCGGTAGAAATTGCGCACAACATCGCTATGAAAGGTAATCCGAGTAATGTAACGATAATAGATAGTGTGCATATTAGTATGATAAAGAAATAAGAATATTTTCATTATTGTTAACACATAATCCGCACGTGTGTTTCGTAAGATGTTGATTATACATATTCTGAATTATTTTGGTTGTATCTGAGAATGTGTCCGAAAAGTGGCATGATCGCGAAACACTACGACCGACCGAAACTTTTAGTAAGAACTCGAAGTATCGTCACGGAAACTGTGTCGATGTAAAATCTTCGAGCGGTCCGCACGCCTTCGTGACGGCAACACGACCAACATTCTAGACGCGCACTCTGTAAATCTTCTCTCTCTCTCTCTCTCTGATCTTTGGTTGCGACGACTCTACATTTCTCTGCGTGTGGAAGGAGTCAATCGTCCAGTCGCTATTCGTCAGTGATGATTTGTGAGTTTTCCAACTGCGAAATTATACTAATCTTCTCTGTCTATTCATCGAGTATTGTGTGAGACACTTTTCTACTTTCTTTTCTTTTCACTGTCTGGCCGAAGAAGCTGGATTTCAACCTTTTCAACTACAGAGAAAAGATCATTCGTTCATAGAATGATCGATAACTATCACTTTTTAGTGCTACCGTTTTTTTCTCTCGAGAATTCTACGCAAAAAGAAATAGTCTTGAATCGATGATAGATATTCTCACATATAAGCGGCAATAGTATGGTAGTATTCTTGGGAGACTTTTGTTCTTAAATTGAACGCGAGTAATATTTGTATCGATACAAATTCAATCGTATAAAAAAATCTTCCTACAAGATATCCTTACTTTTATATGAGTCATTGATTTAAGACTAATGTTTGTAAATTCGTTCATCAGTCAGTGTAAAAGTGTACAATGATAATATAACATTACTTTGGTTGTTTCGATTAATCGACACACAATTATTCGCTCTTTCTGTGAACAAGCAAACTATTACAAGACTTTTGCGACTGTCACTAATCAATGTTAAATTTTTATGTGGCTTCAAGTTTTCTCTCTGTAAAATCCTTTATATTCTTCTCTATTATTTGCCGTTTAATTTTATCATTGTACATCCTGTGTCGAACAATTTATATTTTTTTGCTTTCAATTTCTGCCGAATATTAACTCTTTCACTTTCCTGCATCTCGCGATGGATTGCATCCTGATATCGAGCTTGCGCGAAACTGCTTGCATTTTACGCCGACGCAGCGTTCGTGGTTTGGAGTCGGCGTAGTCTGGCGTCTTCCAATCACGCGCAGGAAAGCTAGGGAAGGAATCGAGCGTAAGAGCCCTTCGTCATTGCCGTTGTCGCCGCCGTGGTCGTCGCCGCCGTCGTCGTTGTCATTGTAATCATCCGTCGTCGTCAGCTGTCATCGGCAACGTTTATTCCGATATGGCAACAAGACAGTCTCAAATTGCGCGCTGAAGAGAGAGAGAGGAAGAGAACAAAGATAGTCGCCGACAAAAGTACAGATGGGGTGGATGAGCAAGATAGTACGAGGAAATGAAACAACGGGGGATATATAAAAAACATAAGAGGACATCTAAAATATACCCCTAAGGACGGATTTTCAAAAGGAAAGTAAGCGACATCGTGAATAGGAAGGGGTGTGAAAAAAAGGCCGTTGGGAGGGAGTGTAAGAGAGGTACGAAGAAGGGGCAACAGTGTGGGGGAGAGTCTGTGCGACACGAGAGGAACGCAGAGGAGATCTGAAATCGAAAACTTTGCAATTGCGGCTCGTGGTTAGATAGGATGCGTGTGCTTGGGTGCGGCGTCTCGCCACCACCCGACAAACGACGGTTTAGCAACGGCATCCGTTACACTATCGTCAAAGGAAGAGCCGGTGTCGACAGTCCCGCGAGGACATTTATCGAGAGCGCGGAATCGAGAGGTAACGCGTTCTATCACCAAGCAGTTGAGACGAGCGATTTCCTTCAAAGTTTGGAAACTTGGCGCGACTATCTCGGATTTTGCCCGATAACAAAGGAAGAAGAGGAATTTGTTGCACCCACGTGTTTTATCTTTGTGAATTCGCAACAGTTTATCATCGGCATTTCAGCGCTCCATCGCGGTGCGAAGGGTGGTGAGCCGGGTGAATCCTCGTTGACGGTACTATCGCGAGAAACACGAGTCGTGGGGCAAAATTGTGCGAACGAACGTACCAGGTCTGACAAAATCTATTAGCTATTTTCTATATGGTAATGACTGTCGTTGGACTGTCGGTGGTTGGGCGTTAAAACGCGTCGTATTAGTTGAACGACGCGTGCGGCGTCGAGCGGCGTCGAGCGGTACCAAACGGCGTCGGGACAGCGGCGTAACCGGCTCTCAGACGCAACGTCCAGACTACTCATGTTCATCCCAGATACTCTGAGAAGCTGCATGGTGGAACCAGATGTCTCGACTTACCTGCAGGCTCCTTCTGTCGGACAGGTGCTTACATTCTTTAAAAATTCTTTTTTCGCCGGGCGCCTTACTTCTTTATGTTACCCGCGTCTATTCGCTATTATCGATATTTCTCATGCCGAAGTAAGGGAGAATGTTGAGAAAAGTCCGTTGGCGTTACAGAGGTACGAATATTACGCGCGCACTCTTTCTCAAGATGTTGAGGTTGGTAAAGTAAAAACACGACGGAGGAAGAGAGGGCGGTTGTTTTATAATATGTGTTATACATTTCTTGTTTATGAATTTTTCTAACGACGTCCAAGCGAGGTGACAATTTCCGCGCGAGAGATGACGTTGCATTTTCCTCGAAAGATGTATCGAGAAAATGCGAGTTTGTGTCGCGACATTTTAAGTAAGATATCAAGTATGGGATTAAAAGAGAGGGGAGAGATATGTAACAAAGGAAACGAGAATTGCTAGCGTCGCGTCGTGCAGCGTCGCGTCGTGTCGCGTCGGTTCGAGGGCAAATCTAGTAAGCTAGGACAAGAGCTATTAATAACTGTTTAGGGTGCCGTACCTGGCCGCCGCGCGGTGCCTTCGGCGCGTCTCGATACGCGCGTCTCGACGACCGGCGGCGTCTCAGTGTCGTCGCGACGACCAACGTTGTACCCATCGTTCCGCTATCGATGGACTAAGTCGCGCGTACAATTTTGGCGAACGACCCGAATAGTCATTCGAACGGCATCGTAACCTACCTACCGCATATATTCGTTAATGACGAAAAGTGGATGCTACAGGAGAAAATTCGTTGAGTATTCGCTGCCATCGTGTTATCGCGCCAGTGGATTACAGCAGGCTGCCTGTTCAAAATTATCCGCCGGAGATTCAGCCGAAATGGCGGATCAACCTTTCCTAAAAGATATGGGGATGCTGTATCACGTGTGCTTTATATAACGCCAAATGTTCGTACGTGGTATCGCGGTCTCTCGTGTGGGCGAACGAACGTATATATATATATATATATATATATATATATTCGTCTCGCTAATCGTCGGTTATTCTTCCATGCTAATCATTCTTCCCTTCTTCTTTATTCACGAAAATCGAAATCTACACTCGCATAATATGTGTTGTTCACTGTAAACATGCGGTATAGTGTTTTTTCCCGCTACTTTTTTTCTTACCAATCGTCCTTTATTTGCCATTAGTAAGTGGAGAAATCGGAGAGTGTCTGTATAGCTGTCGGTAAAAATCGTGTTTATACTCCTCACCCGGTGCATTGAAGCACATTCGCCGTAAATTGTGATACCTCTCCGAATGAGTTCGCGCCACACAATATTGCGCGAGTAAGTACAGAAGAAGAGGAGGAGGAAGAGGAGGAGAAGGAGAATTTGGAGGCGGTGGTGGCGGAAGAGGAGGAGGTGACAGACTCTAATTTGGGTTCGCGAATCGCTCGTACCTGACAATGGTACGTTTTCCGTGTGTGACCATCGTTTTCCGGGAGTGATTCATTTTGCGCTTCTTCCTGCTTGGGTTGCTCGTCGGTTTTTGGCATGGATTTTCTCGCTCTCGTGAAAAGTAACTTATTTGAAACAGACACGTTGGAATCCTTTCTCTTAGCTTTCGCTTGTCTCCGAAAATAAATAATATATCTCCAGATTTGTTACGTGTTTCTTCAACGTGTTATTCTTCTTGCCGCGTTTAACTTTTCTGATCCGAAAATAACAGCGTTACATACACACAGATACGCGTGTGAACGCACAAAGGCGCGTCCGTAAAACGTCCGTAAGCGACGCTCTCATCTCCCAGTTGCATTCGTTTTCTCGTTGTTTCGCTCGTGTGTTCGTTCGATAAGGCATACTCGAGTATCCGATTAGTCTATCGAAAGAAGCAGTGTACGCGCAGATACAATTTTCCTAGCCATTTCTCTACCTCCTCTTTCGTCGATTCTCGTACCCACCCCGCGTTTCGTTCGCATTACTGGCGGTTTTCATAATCGCAGCAACTTCGCGTAAGCGAAAGTTGCGCGAGAAGAGACTTTGGATCTTTCTCGTGGAAAAGTATCTTTTCGTTGCTAAAAGTAGGAATAACGCGGATCCGGAGGTTGGTTGATCGCCGATGAGTGAACGTCAAAACAACTCCACGTGGTAGCATGATCCGTAAAAGTTACGCGCCAATATCGAACGATTGACACAAAAGGATGTGTGTCAAAAGTGAGGATGCTTATACCCGTCGAATAATAATTGGAAAATACGTGAGAGAAGGGAAAAAGTAAAAAAAATGCGCATAGGCGCGCGAATCGAGTATTAACTCGAAAGATCGGCCGTACAAATCTAAGAAGCGGAAAGATCGCTTCTCGAGAACCGAGAGTCCGGCTGGTACAGATGAGGCCGCGAACGATCCGTAACTGCGGGCTGGAGAGGAGTATCGAGGTATTCGCAATCGTTACCGCGAGGATCGCTGTTTCCGACGGCTGGACGCTGACGAGAGGGGCGGACAGACGATAGTGTGTTTCAGCAGCTCCAGTGTTTGCCAATACTCGATGGTTCGTTTGTGTTCTTTAACAGTTTATTCCGAGTATTCGTGGTGCGGCGGAAGAATTTTTCCATTTACTATGAATACAGAGACTATAGAAGAATATAGACAGACAGACAGGCAAGCGGACAGACAGACATGCGGCGAGACAGAGAGGGAGAGAGAGAGATGTGGAGAAGGAGAATAGAAAGAAGACGGAAGGGAAGGGAACAATGTTCAATTAAATTCGCATTAATGCTACATCGCAGGCATACATTTGAGTAGATCGCAAAGATAGATTCACTCGTACTGCTAAAGAAAATTATTACGAGCGAACAGATAAGAAATTTAATTATTCTTTGTACCGTAAAATGCATGCGGGGCATCTTTAATTTTTTTTTTTATATTATTGACAATTTTGTAGCAAATCTAACTTACCGAAACATTACTCTATTCAACGTTTCTCCGTGTAATTCGCGTTTACTCATCGACACTTTTGTATTTAGCATTTTTTTTTTCTGTTTTACTTTCCCTCTAGCGAGATTTCAGATGATAACCGATGCTTGCCTTATCGGCCTGTCGATCTAACAATAAAAACATTTTGTACAAATCATTTTAATGTAATCCGGGACGTTGTTGACGATAACTCATAACTAATATAATTAGTTGAAATTTACGAGGGAATAAAAGTCTTACTGAGAAACATGAACGCATTGTATGATTGCAGGATGAGTTCCATCCATTTATCGAGGCGCTTCTACCGTTCGTGAAGTCTTTTTCGTACACGTGGTTCAATCTACAAGCCGCTAAGAGACGCTATTATAAGAAACACGAAAAACGGATGACCTTGGAAGAGGAACGTCAGTGTAAAGAAGAACTTCAGGTGAGGTGCTTTGCGAAATTAGCGAATGTTTGATTCAAACGGTTCTCTTTTTTTTTCTAATCCTGTAATAAGCAAAAAACTATGGATAAATCAAGACGTAATATCATTTAAATGCCAACTATAAACGTATTATAAATTAAGTAATTATAAAGATTCAACGAACGATAAGAGCGATAAAATATTCGAGCGAACTCTCTTCTCTATCGGTCCGTCCATTCAACCGTTGAACGTGCTATCGTTGGCAATGCTATCGGCCCGTTGCTTCTCTCCACCGTGATTCCCATCCTCCCGCTTGCGACAGCGTTCGATCAATATTTTAATTTCGCGATGTTGCGGTATTTAGCGGAAGAGCGGCTGGCATTAACCGGTGGCGCATAGACGCTTCTTCCCTCGTTTCTCCTCTTCGTTCTATCACCGATGTATCTAAAGAATCATGAATCTCGCATATACTTACATTGATAGATGCAACGCACAATCAACATTCTTATGTTCGCGATGACATCGAAAGGAAACTTTTTGAATTAGATATCATTCAAAATACGCCTCGAATCTCGTGTGAATGCGTGTGTAAATGTCTTTCGATCGAAAAGGTCATTAATCGTTATAATTGTCATCATTGTTTAAGTATTAATGCCAAGTTTATTCTTTTCCTTAGACTTGTGCGTGTGATTTCATATCGAGAAGTCTGATGGTTCCTTTTCTTAAAACTCTCTTTGCTCGCTCTCATTTCATGTCGCACATATGCTATTTATTGGAATGTATCGAGAAATATAAGAATCTCGCTTGGGGAGGTTTGAACGCGATGGTGGACTTTTCTCAACGACTTGGTGGAGCGATAAAAACACACACAGGGAGATACACGAGAGAGAGAGAGCAAATTATCGGAAGATGTCTTTTTTTTCGCGTTATTTTACTAACTCGACGTGTGAGGTTTCAAGTATGACGCGAGATTTTAATGACGCGAGAAAGGATACGAATGGAAAACAACGAGCCAGACTACATCGTTTTCTCTTAATTTCGAGACAGACCGCAGTGCGCGGTATAGGCTGCTTCGGGACAAGCGAGTAGTATGAGGAAAAGAGGTAGAAAGTCGGAGAAAAAGAATGTGAGCAATGGGTGGATAGACGGGGATAAACTAGAGTAAGGGTGGGAGTGCGGCGCATCGCGTCGTTTCCCGGCATTTCCCGGCGCTTCCCGGCATGTCGCTCGGAAGGGATGGTATATACGAAAAGAGAGTGTACGACGGAGGGTGCAAGGGCCTAGAGAGATATGGGAGTCGGGTGGAGCGGAAGGGTCGCGAAAATCGAGAGGAAGGAACGGTACCAACACCCACGAGAAGTATCCGCTACATGAGTGCATACGAACTTTTGGGCAATGGGGATGAGTCGAAAGAGGAGGAGAAGGGATGGCCGGTTTGGGGCGGTCGAAAATGGTGTTGGGGAGGACGTAGACATGTAGCGCATACGCCGTCGCGACGGAGGCTGCGGCTACGTGGCGCCTACCAACCACCATCTATAATCTCTATGCGGATATCGATTTTCCACCCTGTATTTCCTAAATTTATGCAAACTAGCGGTACACCTTTTTTTACTCTTTTCTCTGTCGCTCCGTCGATTCGTTAGCCCAACTGCATCGAATCTCTCTCTTCGTTTTCACACGCTTTGAATCTGCTAATTGTTTGTGTTTCAAGAGTATCATCATCACTTGCTTAAAAGTAGTGGTTAGGTTGAAATAAACAAGTTCTTCGTCGCATACTCTTTTCGTGCGATATAAAGACGCATCGATGTATAATAATAAGAGAATGATGACAGAGTTCTATATACGCACGATATATGACGATTCTTCACTTTTTTGGCTTTCTTGGCGGTTTTAGCACAGGAAAATATTTGGCGCCCTTATGGGTTGTAATATTTACAACATTTTATATACCTCTCGGAATTGCCAATAAAGAAATCGTAGAAACGTTTTGTTCGCGTCATAACATAGTAAGGGACGATATACATGGCCGGGAAGCTTGCCAAATTAATAAATATATTTTCCGTCTATCCCAATTCTCTCTCATCTCTTGTTCTTTCTGTTACCACTTGTGTGGAATAGCGCCACTCTCATCATTGAACGACAACCCTGACATAATCTGCAAATGTCGCTTTGATATAAACTTGCATTCTCATCGAACGATACAACCAGGTGGACTAGATATAACAAACAGATGAACAAACTATTCGTCGTTATTATTGTTGTTATTATTTCTTCGGCATCCAATGGGACAGAAGTGACGATAAAGCGGAAACAAGAGGCACCGTGTGAAATCGCTGGTTCGGACGAGTAAACCGCCGCGCCTTGCGACAGCGCGTACGCATGTCACGGTATACGCGCTCTCGGTACAATTCTCGCGAACACGGTTAGAGAACGAAGAGTCGCATTCGGCATACTTGATATCGGGTATACGCAGGATGCACCGTAAGCGCGACGCTTTCTCCAGCGGAGTATCGGAACAAACCGCGAATGTCGGTGCACGCACCGACTGCGCTCTTATCCGCTTTATTCGCGAGTGCGCGAGGGCGCGAACGTGCTTGACATTTTACTCGCGCGGAAATATCGGGACGTCAACGCGTGACACACACATAGAGAGAGAGAGATATGTTTTAAATATTTTTCGTCTATTAAACGATACGACCGCCAATTTATCATTATCAATTTTACGTACTCGTTAATCGCTTTATTGTTGAAAGCGAGATATATTAATCGATAGGATGACTTTTGACACACATACTTTTTCATATATATGTATATATAAATTTAGAAAATGCTAAATTGCTTTGCATAGCTCCTCTCTCTCAACGCTGACTTTAATCAACATTGTGTTACATTTATCATAATATTCAAGAGATTGGGTGTGTCAAGAGCGGTAAGTATAGTCGTCCAAGTTGTACGTACAGACGTGCGTACGTGCATAGCAAAACGGACTAGGCGAGATAGATCGCGCGCGGTACTTCGATGCATTCCGCGCGCTTTCAATGCATTTCTCAGGGATCTTATGCATGCGTGTATTTGCTATTCCGAGTGTGACGAGGGTCGCACGCGTGCGCTGCATATCGTTCGCCGAAAGATGTCCCTCTTCGAGGTTGTCGCTAGTCGCTATTTTCGCTCGGGACGTACAAACTTGATAAACTCGACGAAATTTTCAGATCGGTCCAGCTCGCTGGATGGTCGCGCGATGCTTTTTCACCATTCTTTGACCTTTATCAAGTCACACGATGAACGGCGCTTCGCTATATCGCGCGTCGATATCACATAATAGGATATTTCATTCCGTCAAATTGCCGATGTAATTAAAAGGAATGATAGTTGCACTCTTATGTAATTTCTCATTCGTCCCGCGATCGTTCGTGATATATAATGCTTTTCGTTCCTCAGAACGAGAAGCTGGAAGTAAAACAGAAATGGGCCTCGCGGCTTCTTGGAAAGTTACGGAAGGATATCACGCAAGAGTATCGGGAGGACTTCGTACTGAGTATTACGGGGAAGAGACCGGCGATGTGTGTTTTAAGCAATCCTGACCAGAAGGGCAAAATGCGTCGGATCGATTGCCTTCGTCAGGCTGACAAGGTACGTTCGGCCAACCGAATTACTTTCATTTTGCTAGACTCTCTCAATAGCCTTTGAGCGTCAACGATTCGATGAATCGTTTGATTTCTCTGCGATAGGTATGGAGGCTGGATCTAGTTATGGTGATCCTTTTCAAGGCGATTCCATTGGAATCGACGGATGGAGAAAGACTAGAGAAGACTGCGGAATGTGCGCAGCCGGGTCTCTGCGTCAATCCTTATCACATCAACGTTTCCGTCCGGGAACTGGATCTCTATCTCGCTAATTTTATCACGAGTCACGGTAATTTTTATCACGATCGATAATTACGCAATTGGACGATCTAACGTCTCGAGAATGCAACTCAACTACCTTTCGAATCACGCTAATTTACACATGCTAAACATTTCGCCGAGTTTGTTCGCGATACATCGTGTCCAATCGATATTTTTCCATCGGTCGAGTCGCGTAGACAGTGAGATTATTTCGCTTAATACGAAGGCTATCTCATTAATATCATTTCACTGTCCAGACATAACGTTTTCATTCGAATCTTTCAAACGAACAACACCGGATAGAACAAGCGTGCCCTACCCCCCTCCTCTCTCTAACACTTTTAAAAAATAAGAATATCTGTGTGATTGACCAAACAATGTTTAACTTTCGTGACACAACTAGCTATATCTTTATTTGAATTTTCACAAACACACAATTGAAAAATAATGTCGCCAGTCGCTGATGTAATGCTGTCGCAGAGATTATCTCTCTCTCTCTTCCCCCCTCTTCTTACTTATTTTCTACTCATTGCATTCGTCACAACTCTTTTTCTGCTCGAACAAGTATAATATTATGCAAATAATAACAAAATATAATAAGATAGAATGAGAAGCGGTCCGCGTGTAAATGGAGCGATACTTGTTTCTCGAGGTACATCCGCGCGTGGGATACGATCGATTTCACGAAAAAAAAAAAAAAGTCCGTTCTGACTTTGATGCGTGCCTCTCTCGTCTTACGTATATCTACGTCGGATCGACGCGAACGACGTGTCGAATGAACGTATAGAGAAAATGTGCACGCAAGCGCGTGACCATGCTTGCCGCTGTGTACGCTCGCTCTATAAATAAATAGGCAACGGACATCTTTAGCTAGCTCACAGTGCTTCGCGTATACGTTGATTTTCTTTCATGCCACTGTGGATACCTGAATATTTTTGTACCTGTAAGGAATCGTCGCGTGTCGTTTCAATCGATTTTCGAACCGATACGTCCAAAGATAATCACCTCGAGCCGAGTCAAAATTATTAATCTGTACATATCATACAGCTTTTATAAGCTTCCGCTCGTTACACAAGTAAGAGATGAAAAATTCATTAATGTCATGTTTTCGTCGCCCGGTGATTAGTAACGTAACACCGAGAGTTACACGGATTACACGTGTTATATATCTCAAATGGGATTTCGCGCATCACTTTGATTTCGATCGAAAGCTCTCGACTCTTCCATGCCTTTTTTTTATAATTTGTTCTCTTGTAATTTCGCCGACTCAACGCGAGCATAACTCGAGCAATTCGACTAATTTATAATTGTTCAATTAGGTGTATCTCATTTTATGACGCTATATTTGTCTATTGTCTCGCCAACTATCCGCTAACGACCAAATTTTTATCGGCGCATAAAGCATCGAGAGATGCTCGACCCCTCTTGAGAGAAATCGCCGTACATTCCGCGGACTCTCGAGTATTTCGGTGATAGGTTGCGTAATGAGATTTGCGTAAAACGTGCCGGTATAAATGCCACTGTGCGATATCAAAGACGTTACGGGCAGTTTTTAGCAAAAAGACAATTTCATGTAATTTCGCAACTTCTGTCGACGAGTTCTGCATATTATCTATGAACGTTTCGGAAAACTATCGTGTCAAATAAACGATCATTTGTTGATCGATTGAACTTTTCCGTCCTGCAAATATATTTTCCTTTTCTTTTTTTTTTTTTCGTTGCAGAGGTCCTGAATGGCATCTGCAACGCTAGCAAGGAAGAGGACAGGCGTCGAAAAGGTACTCGTGCAATTTCTCCGCTTTGTCTTATCACTTTGTAATGTGTTCCGTTCTTCTCCGATGGTTCGCCACACATGTGTGTAATTTTTACATACACACTGAAAAACGTTCGCTGGGTTTTGTTCCCAGGTACAGGATACCACGAACTATATAACGGTGTTGTCTGCAATGACACCATCCTTGCTACGGGTGTCTTCAGCTCCAAAGAGCTCTGGATGCTTTCAAAAGGTACGACGATGCAATATTCATTAGAAATTTAAACGCTCAATTCTCCCCATCGACGTTTCTTTAATAATACAAAATCAGTAAACGATTAGATTAATATTCTATCGAAATCGTCCATTCGCAGGTGCTTTCGAAAGGTGGCAAACGTGTGTTAATGCGAAAGACCTTTTGAAAGCATCCTGCTAGCTAGTTGGTACATTTTTCTCTCAGTCCTATATTCGCGGTGTCTATTCTTCAACTGCGTAATTATTAGGCGAGAAGTATTTAATCATTTGTATCATCGAATACATACGTCTATTCAATGGTATAAATACATGCATGCGCGCGCGTGCACATCGCGACGGTTAATATGAAAAAGCGCTTTAAACTCTACGACGGACCCTTTCGGACAGACTGGATGTGAGAGAATTCTTTCGCGATCGGCAACCTCATGATGATAATAACATGCGAATGTATCCATCCGTTGGTAATTTTATTTCCTACTTTTACTTTACGTTCCGCAGTAATGATAAAACTTGTTTTCATGGATAAAAAGAAGAATACTCTTTTTCTCTCCCTCCGACGACGAAAAGAATCTTCATGATTAACGGAATAACAAGTTTTATAACAATACATTGTATGTAAGCTTGATATTTGATCACAACTCAATGGCATTTATCTATTTGTTCGTCTACTCGTTGATGAGTTCTTAACGATTTTCAGTACATTGGAATATACATCTTCTCTCATTTATGTATCGTCATACATTTGTGCGTACATTTCTGCGGAAAAAAACTGTTTCCTTGCAGTAAATACTTGCTCGCTTGAAAGAACGTTGGAAGTAAAGAGAAAAAATTGGACCCTTTCGGAAGTACAATTTTCGCGGCTACGTCGAAGAGCGTGCAACGAAATACGGATGACATACGTACGAACATGCTAGCTGCTAATGTGTGTCTGGTTTCAGCGTCCATACTGCATGACCTCAGCGACATGCAGCCTCAAATAAACGCGATCAAAATAGAGCACCCGCCGTACTACTGCAGCAGCTACACCCCTCCATCCGCAGCTACGACCGCGGATCACGTTCAGCCGGCGGCTAGCTTCAGTGAGTTTCAAAATCTGCCTTTGCCCTTATTTTTAGTAGACGAACGGTAGCCGCTACGTCTCGCTCGTGTCCGAAACTCGCTAAACTAGTTCACGCCGCATAAGCGGAAAGGACCGCTTCAAGCGTTGAAAATAATCAGATTGAAATCAATTCGATCTAAATATTTGTTTATCGTGTCATCGAATCCGACGTGACGTCGATGGAACCCATCAAACTGTCTTTATTCAGTCTTATCTATTTTTATTTCTTCCCTTGAAATCGTGTTAACATCCGACGAGACAGCTTAACATTTTCATTTCTGACGCAAATATATGTATAATAACAATATATATAATAATATGAATCATTCATTAGGAAGAGACGGTAAGAAAGAAGCACTGGACAATCGTCAATGAAATGCATTTACAGTCGAAATCAAATGACCACTCTCTTGAGCGTGATATACGCACGGAAAAATTTCAGCAATAAGCATAACTGGGTCGTTGCCAACTCACAATGTATTCCCTTTTCTCCTTTTATTATACGTACTTACGTTAGCGTCTCAACGATAGCGACGCTTGAACAGAGCTTGCAATCGGCCGTATATCGTCTCTTAACTTGATAATACATTTTCGTAAGTAATAATTTAACTTGATGGCGCGTTGGTTCTTTCAACAATTTGGATATTGCGCGACAGAAAAAATTTGTCGACGGTAAAAGCCAGTGTAGTTCGTAGTTAAATGTAGCTAGAGAGAGAGAGAGAAAATTAAATCATCGATCAACCATATTGTCGTGATATAATTCTCTCAAGAAATAAGGGGGAGGGGGGAGAGATTTATCATTTAAGAAATCGTCAACGCATTGTTTCACGCTCAGGTCCACCACCGGTTCATCAACTATTAAGAAATGACAAGACTGAAAAGCCGCCGACAGTCTCGGTTTCGAGTGCGCCAACCTTTTCATCAGTTCTCAGGCCGGAAGATGGACATCGCGGATTAGACTCTCCTCATTCGCAAACAGGTATGTATCAACCAGTTTACATGCGAATTGCCTATAACGCATACGTTATAACGCTGCAAACTACTTGAATCATATACGGTGATTTGCATGGTGGGAGGGAGGGAGTGCTGGTGGACAAGACGTTTTAATATTCGAGAAATCACAATCGTTGCTATAAAGATGCATCATTTTTGAGAATAATTTCTCAGAACGTGTTGTTGTTGTAAGAACGACGACGCAAAAAGAGCAGAGTATAAGTTGCAACACGCACTCCCATATATATTTTCCAACTGTGAAATAATATAATTCGGGATATGCGCGATGAGTTCACGATTGCCGATAAAAAATCGGCGTTTATTATTTAATTTATTTGCGTATGCAGCTCGTGGAAAACTACTGAAATTGGAGTGATTTTCAAACGACTTTAATGGGGAAAGGGAAAAAAGTTTCTTTCTTCTTCTACGAATCAGGGTTTCTCATATGTGATACGAATAATGTGTTAGTAAGTATTTCTTTAGAGAGATATCGCTAGAGACTCGTGCTTCCGACCAAAGTTTCAAACGAGTCATCGAAGAGCGATGTATACCGTAAGGTATCGTCGAATCACGATGTCTCTTGTCGAGGTACGCTGTTACCTTATAAGACACGACTCTTAAATTTTTCCATCATATCTCTTCTCTCTTCCTTTCTATATACTCCTCCCAACCCCTTTCTTTCTTCCCTCTTTCTCTCTTTCTTCGGCGTGCGTGCACGATTCTAGGGCCCATGTTTGATGAATAATAATTTTAACTAACACTCATCCATACATATATATATACATATATATAATTGGAATCCATTATGTTTTGTGAGCATATGCTAATCCATCGATGCGCTTCACAACGAATATCGGAATGTCGAATTAACATTTCATCCAGGATCACATTCGTGATATTGCACGTATATCTCGATTACATTACATCGAGAAGCAACGTGCAGTGGGCAGACATGCGTTATTCCTTTATGGTTTACACGCTAAACTCCGCACCGTCTGAAATCTACCCCCCCGAATTTCTTAATTTGTAACTCGTCTAAAGGTTTTAAATACTTCTTTTCAGATTAATAAATATATTAATCCCCCGTTTCTCCCTCCCTTCTCTATTTCTCCTGTCGCAAATAAACTTCACTAAGATTTTCTCTCACGCTTTATTTATTTATTTGGTATAATTTATAAAAGAGATATTTCCTGTCCCACATTCTGATCGATGATTTCACAAGCGAAAATAATAAGACGATCGAAGACAACCGAGGAATATCTTGACTAAAAAGTTCATTTCACAAGACAACTAACGTCGGAGACTTGTATCGTGCACAATAAGTTGGAGAATATTCTATTATCTTCTTATAATTATATTAGTCAGTAAATTAATAATCGAAGGTTTTCTCGCAGTTTGTGTGTTCGAGACGAGATCCACTAGATAGCACAACGGCGCGCAATGCACTTTCTGAACGAATATCGACGAAAATTGACATTTTTCTACATTAAACGTATGAGAAATTCAATTCAAGTTGACGCGTGAAATGAAGAAATCGATCGATCGAGGTGAAGAGTCAGACAGATGGCGTTCGTTCACAGCAGCCTCTAGTAGTTTCAGTCTCCAGCTTTCAAGCTCGAGCCGAGACAAAGACGGATTTAACGCATAATTATGTGTAGTTTCTATCGTGCGAAATCGCTCGTGAATGGCTCGATCTGTCATTCGCGCTCGATCGATGCTAAATCGCGATTAGATATAACAATAGGATATATATTCGCTACATTTATATTCGCCGCTTTATTAAATGTGGTACACTATCGGATGCTAATCGTCAGATATTAATGTTTATAGAGAGGATTGTAGACGTGCAAGACGATCGATATTTAATCTTCGAAGAAGATGAAACTCGTGTTTCTTATGATGTGTGTTTCGTATTATTTCGAAATGCATGTCTCGTTTCCCGAAATCGCGCAGCACAATGCGATCCTATTAGACTGTACAATTTTGTATTGAGATTAGGAATAATTTTCCCGCTTAATTTTTATTATAACAGCGAGGAAAATTTTTCGACTTAGCAATTTTTCATCTTGTAACACATCGATCTATTAATGTATCAATCTACCCAAATTACCTACCAATCAACGACTGTGTTAATGAATCGCGTTAAAAATGAAGCGTCATGTCTGTTTCAGTCTGACCCCGAGCGTAGAGAGAAGCTCGCTAACTCGACTAAAAGGTACTTTGTGACTGGTTATTGACTGTTGTCTTTTCCTCTCTCTCTCTCTCTCTCTCTCTCCCTCTCTCTCCTTCTCTCTCTCTCNTATATATATATATATATATATATGTATGTATATGTATGTATACACACACTCGTACGCACGCGACTGTTTATCATTGTACGCGCATACACATACGAGATTTTTATATATTTGTAACTGCGTTGCAAGAGAATTGGAGAAGTCTCTTCGTATTCTCAGATTCTATGCTTGTATCAGTCAGCACGTTCACGCGCATTGCGATAGCAATAAATTTGACATTGAAAGTAACGATAAATATATGATATTATCGAAATATATCTAACGTACCTACGTCGAAACACTCGGGGCAAACTACTAGATATATACACGAGTAAATGATTTGTTGAAATTTTCGACGAGGAAATATTTTTCATCAAATCATTGATGAAACAATAACGTCTTGAAATGCTCATCGATCGGATCGTTGTGGATTGGTAGGTGTCATAATTACTCGGCCATGAGTAGCGCTCCAAAGTGAATCGGTTTTTCGTCAAGAGATCCGATTCGTCATTTTGTTCATTTTTTTGCGAGTATCAGCTGGATATCGCGCGTGGCTTGGCTCGATAGTGGCTCGTATGAGCATGGGCTCGTGCATAGACATGCATAGACGATACCGACTCATATTATGAAGTGGTATGTGCTGAGCGATATCACGATAGCTTCCACGTGCTCGTACTACGCTACGACGCGGAACATTGTATAGTTTCATAAACGATAAATGTGGAAAACGACATTCGACAGCGAGACGACGAGCGCGCAAAATCGGTCTAATTGTTCAATGGGACGCCTCGAGTGAAATTTTCTTCTCTCTGATGTCGTTGTTCAATATACGAATCAAACGAATATATCTCTTCCATCCAATCGCTCTTCATCAGAAAAATCACTTGTTCTTTCGATCCCCTTGTCTAACTACAGAGATTTATCTGTGAAATTTTTCGTTCTATACTATTCTATACGTTCATCACATCACTCAACATTTTCCATATTATATCACGAAATTATTTTCTCAACCTTTCTTTTATTTCGTTCTACTCTTTTCTTTCAAATTCATCGAGTACAATTGTACGATGTTTCGGCTAGACATTCGAAACGATAAAAACTAGGAAGTGTGTCCGAAATGTTTCTCTACTTTCGTTTTCAAACGAAAATATAAATACATTGTATAATAAATATTGCATACAAACGTCCAACATTTTTCGCTCTGCTCCATTATTATTAACCGCGGTCGGAAAGATGTTATTATAAAGATATCCGACCAAAAAGACTTTTGTCAGCCTTATCTTTCTCAGCCATCGCGACTTGGATCAAAATTCTGGGTCTGAA